TTAAACTCGACTTTGACTTGATCACCTAGTGAATGAACTGGTGGTGTGTGTAATGTCAATGTAAAATGATCTTGACCATCTGGAGTTACCACAAATCCATGTAGAGGTTCTATAGTAAAACCTAAAACCAATCAAAATACAATGACACAAGTAATGCTAGACAAGTAACTGAAAGTGGTAATTAACCTGCATTTGCATTACCACAATAAGAGGGCCATTGATTAGGTAAATTAAACAAATGTTCAGCTTCTGGTGGAATACCATGTGTAAATGGCAAATAAACTGTACTGGTGTACCTATGTACAAGCATGGGTTATCTATTGACTCATTAGAAACGTACAATTGACACTTACACATCAGTATCGAAAGAACCATGAGCAGCATGTGCAGTAATGGTTTTAACTGGCCTATCTTGTGTTTCAAAATAACTTAAGCATGGAACTTTACCAATACCAGATTGTTCTAAATCACATATTTCTGCTGAATCATATCTCTATAACAATGAAAGTTTTTTCTGATACATATTATTTACTCGCAATTAACATAGAATGCAAAACTCTTTGCAAAAATGTGAAGAAATCTCCAACCATAATACTGACTTCGAAACCAATCAACTTTTTTTTGTTGGAAAAAGCAAAGTCTGAACTACAAATTTTGTAGAAGACATATTTTTTCACAACGAATCTGAGAAGGTGGAAAAACGAAAAATCAAACACACCTAAAAGCGTTCTTGCAACTTGAAAAGTTTATATTTCTGAATTATTTTGAGCTATATGGGCCGAATTCCAACAATAAAAATACACTGAAATATAGCACGTCAAAAACCCTATCGATAACAGCTTTGGTAAAATATTTTAGATGCATTCTTGACTTTTTAATCAAAAATGGTTTGAAAATTCAAATTTGTGTAAAATGGGAACTTTCGAAAGATCTTCTAGTTTTCAAGAACACTACCAATCATTTCTGGAAACCATGCATGAGAATTCTTTGTGCATTATGTGTTCGAAATATGTCAGATCACAAAAACTTAGTAGAAAAAAATAACTGAAAGGATATTTTTATCGTTCCAAAACAGTCAGATAGTAAGAACAACCAAATTATACAACTTCTTCCAAAACAAACTATATTTTGATATAAAAGACAAGTCATCATTGAACTGTTTTTCCATTTCAGTTCTGATGTAAAAAAAATTAACAGAAAATAGAAAGGATGTTGCATGATGGGTAATTTGCAAGAACTTTTTTTCTATAGGTGTTTGATTTTTGGCTTTACCACCTTCTTAAATTTGTTTTAGAAAAATATGTCTGGTACAAGATTTGTACTTTAGACTTTGCTCTTTTCAATAAAAAAAAAAACGTAATTAGTTTCGAACTCGGCAATATGGCCTAAGAAATATTCATATTTTTGTAAAGACTTTTATATCGAGTGTTAGATGTACGTGAATTTGTACTTGATAGTTAGGGATGTACAGTTTCTGTATACTGACCACCGACAAGGTCACACTATCGTTCGTCAGCGCAGTGACTACACTGTAAAATAATGCAGTTAGAGCAAGAGTTTATTTTATCCTTTTTTAACAGTGCAGTGCAGTCAGTATCAGTGTGATCATTGGTTCAGTGAATATCAGTGTCGGTGTCGATACAGACAGTGTAGTCAGTGCGCTCAATACGGTGATATCACTGTCGGTATTTCAGTGCTTGCACTGAAACTGCACATCCCTATTGATAATACTTCTACTAGAAAGACTTAACATCATATATTTAGCAAACGACCTAAACATTTGTGCAATTTGATTCGTTAGGGACATGACTTCACCAAATTAAAATGCTTATATCTCTGGATAACGAACTCCTCTAGAGCTGATTTTTTTATGTCATAGGCATATTAGATTACTCTAGATAGCTTGAAAAATTCAGCTGTATAGCCCTTTGTTGAGAGAAGTTATCATCAAAAGGTAGCGTTAGGGACGTTACTCAGAAAAGGACATCGATTTTCACTGCATGCATTTCATTTTGAAAAATCTGTAGATTGAGAGAGCATTCTTACAAACTAAATAGTACACTCTATAGAAGATACTTGAGACTACAAAATCTCTATCGAAAGTTTTTTGTGATCATGCTCAGATTTTCCAAAACATTCAGTTTACTTTTTGTTAAGGACGTAGTAGAGTATGAATCGACTATTTTTAATACTTTCATATCTTTGCAAATGTTCAATCACTCGCCGTGAAACTTAGGACACCTATTCTTCCAAGTGTGCTGTTTAGTAAATCATATTAAAAAATGATTTTATGTTTTATTAAGGTTTCTAGAAAACGAGATTAACAAGGAAGGGCTTTTAACACAGTTTTTCGGTTTTTTGAAGAAAAAGGTAGGCAAATTTGCGTAATATAGGAACAACTCTACTGAAACTGGTTTTCTAGTTTCTACAGCTACGGAAACGAAAAAAAAATCATGCTTTTTTATAAACTGAAGACAATAGTGGGTAACTACGCCAAAACTTTGAAACATAATTTCGAATTTTTGAACGAATGAATTTGTCCTATTTTTTGTGAAATTGCCCATATACAGTCATCTATAATTGTAGAAGGTAGGACTCTCTTTATTCGTCATATGAAAGCAAGAAAGGCTGCTTATCTCATAGACTTGTCTAACTGCAATCGCACGAAAAAAAACATACTGTTGCATTTTGTTGAATTTCAGGTATCCATTCTTCGCCCTTGTAGATTAGATTTGGTGGTAATGGAAACCATGGCTGAATTTCAGTATGTGTTCCTGAATTAAAAAACCAGCTGGACGGAAATGGGCCGATATCATTCATTGGATCTGTTCTGTACCAACAATTGTTCTTCAAAATAACATCTTATTTAAAGAGAAAGATAAGAAAACTGATTTTTTTACTTTTGTAAATTCTGGATGATCAGGATTGAAATTGAACATTGTAAAACCTTGTGAAGCTGGCTAAAAAAAGCTTTATAGTTAATTTTTTCTCATATAACGAGTTACTTTCTACTGACTGAATCTGCTTCAGCACCATCAGGTTTATATTTAATCATGTAAGTTTCGTTTTGTTTCAATCTCCATCCTTGTACATCAAAACGAACTCTTAAATTTTCATAATCATATAATAATTGTTGGAGATCTTGCGTTGATGTTTGCCATGAATATAATATACTGATATTCAATGTTGCTTGAAATTGTGTTGGAAAACCTCTTTGACATAAACATTGATTAATAAGTAAGATCAACAGCAATGACAATATGTTTAGTCTCATTTTTCAACCCTTTTGTATTTTGCACACAACAGTATGGTAAAAATATCTAAGAAAATGATAAGAAAGAATTAACTTTTATATACAAAATGCTTGCTTTGTCATCATTAACACAAATATCACGTTACAGTTTCAAGTGCAACATTATCTGCAACTTAAGACATGAGTAAAGTTAGATATGCGTAATTTTTTTTCTCTTTCATAGCATTAGCAATCGTCAGTTTTGCATATCATCGAGAGTGATCTATATTCTCATTTGAATGAGAAATATTCATGACGATCGATGCAAAAATATTTGAGTAAAATTGTGAGTGGTAAATATTTTATTATGAACCGATGATACAAAGTTGACTTTTAGCACTTTAAACGTATTGTTTCAGAACTCATGTAGATATTTTTCGTGTCGAAACGCGACTCAACACGATTTGGTTTCAAAACGCGTCTCTAGTGCAGCTTTTTTTTATGCCTAAATGCGGTTTATAATTGAAACGCATCTGAACACGTTTCTGTGATTGACGAATTGGAACTGTTGGGAAACTCGTATGGATAATAAAAATAAGAATATTAATCTTTTTTCCTTCTAACTAGTATCCTATCTGTGACTGCAAATGAACCCATGTAAATATTTTTTGAAACAAAACACGTCTAAATCGTGACAGTCGAACGTAGGGATGTTAGCGATTCCGTTCTTCAGCGTTTCGTTCCTAGGAACGGGAACGCATCTCAAAATTACCTTTTCTAGCTTTGTGTCAATTTGGCAAGGATTGTAAACATGTTCGCTTATCTTTTTATGTTAGAGTGTTTGGGTGTGGATATGGATGTGCACGTGAGTATTCATCTCATCCACATGAACACTCGTAGCAACATCCACACTCACACCCTTCAGCTGCAAATATATTTTACTTTACTGGAAAAAACTGATGCAAACAATCGTTTCTCTGTAGCTTTGGGACACTTTCTCCCTTAATTCTTTCTTCCGCTTAGTAGAAACAAATGAGAGCTTTGAAAAAGTGAGCACCAAATTGAGGTTTCCAATAGTTCTTAACAATATGAGGAGTTCAAAAGTGGAGAGAAACTCAAAAAAATAAAATCCGTGTTTAGATTCTCTTTTTTTTGTCTACCTACTCCATTGACATAGAGCTCTTTCTTTTCTTTACATAGTTACTAAGAAATTATTATTTTTATTCTTTCCAACTCTTATATTTTCAATGAAAGGAAAAGAAAAAGATTTTTATATTTTTGTGACGTGAAAAAGAATTATTTGAACGCAAAAAAAAACATACTCTCGATAAAAAGAAGAATAAGAACTAAATGTGTAGTGCTGAAAGAAGAAAAAATATAGAAAGACAACGAAACACATTTATTACAGCTGCATTTTTTTCCACGTCATTTGACTTCGTCATACTTGCTTCATCTTGATTTAAATATAAATAATGACTGCTAAATATTCGGACAATGACAATGTTACATCAGATAACCCTCAGCTCGCTACGACGACAGCTGCAGACAAGTCTGCTCGACGTTTCAAAAATGTGACAAATGAATCATCCAAATACACTATCATTTGGCTCGATGAAAATGTTAATGACACTGAAGAAAACCTCGTTACGCAAGAAAAGTTCGGATCAGCTGTTAATCAATTAAAAGTCTTTGATAATCCAGATGAATGTGTTGATTATCTGACCGATATGGAGAAGCAGAAGGTCATTCTAATTGTTTCCGATGTCTATGAACGTAATATTGTTCCTCACATTCACGAATTTACACAGCTAAAAGCGATTTACATCCATTGTCGTGACAAGAAAGGGTCCACAGATTGGACAAAGGACCATGATAAAGTGAGTACTTCCGTCTTCTCTGAATCTCTTCGATGAAGCTGAGAAATGATCACGGGTGGAGTCAAGTTCTATGGAGCTTTGTTAGTCTTTGACATCATTCGACTCGATATATATCAGCATCGATGTCAGTGAATCTAAACTTACCTCATTAATCTTCTACATGAAAATATCACTTTTAGAAAGTTGAGCAAGAGACTGAAAGGTGCAAAAATCAACCTTACACACTTCATACTTGTAGATTTCTGTCTGGCACAGCTGTTTCATGTAAAAAAAGAGCTGGGACGTATAACCATAGTACTGATGTATCAACACATACGGTCGATTTCCTGAACGTACAATTCTATTTTTTTACTCAATGCTATATATTGTCAGAGATGAGCCACTGAATAATAAACTACAGGACTGTCTTATCCCAGTCGCTCATCTTCCTCTAGGCGTATATCAATCGGCTCAAGCTCTCGATTCTGTCTCAAACACGTGGTAGATAAGTTCTGAGAAACAGTAGATGAAAGTACTCAAGTGCCACCTGCCTTCTGTTTGTGAGAAAAAGAAGCAAAAATTTGTCGATGACTCGTTCAAAATCGAGCACTCTAATCGATTTGTTACATGCATATCTTCTTCTATAGATTAAAGGTGTATTCGCAAAATCTATCGATCTAATCCGCGCAGTATCAACTGACCAATGTATTCGTGAACGAATTGATAGCAGTCCACTAACTATAAATTTTTACAGTACAGCTACAGTAGATGAAAGTACATTAGAAGAAAGACAGTCAAAGAACACTACGTTCATGTATTTCCAACTACTCATAGACATTTTCCTAAAAATGGACACTGACAACCGTGATTTGTCCGGTAGACCAGACTTGATCAATCATATTTTCAAAACACTGACGACCAAGACATCAGACGCAACTTATAAACAAGCTATCATCGACGAACTTTTGAAAACGATCATGCACAATGTAAGTGCCAATGCTCCTATTAAACAAGACCAGATCAATGCTTTGCGAAGAATGCAGCTAAACAGTTCAAGTCCTTCCACTGAACATTTTCTCATAGAACTTTTTCAAACAATGCAACTTAATAGGTCCCGAATTGCTGCCAAACAAGATCTTATCGATCATTTTAAACAAATCTATCAAGACGATGCAGTTCAAGAACGTATGATCATAGAGTTTGAAAAGAAATACCGTCCAAAGGAAGCTATTGAATGGTACACTCGAGCATCGTTTCTTTACCGAACACTGAACAAAGCACTTCGAGAATTAGACTACGAAGTCCTTCTCTCTCTACGCTTCTTCATCGTCGATCTACATCGACAATTAACTGATGAACATGTGAAATTTCTACAATCGTTGCCCTCTGTCGATCCTTTTTTCCGTGTCTACCGTGGTCATGCTATTGAAGTGAAAGAAGTCAACTTCATTCGTCAAAATATTGGACAGTTTCTATCGATGCAAAGTTTTTTGAGTACGAGCACTGATCGACAAGTAGCTCTCATGTTTGCTAAATCAAATGAATCGCCTGACGCACACACCACGCACATTCTCTTTCAGTTCAACATTGACACTCGTCTCATTAATACGACGCCGTATGCTAATATTAAGAATCTATCACATTTTCATGATGAAGAAGAAGTCCTGTTCACGTTAGGATCAATTTTTCGAATTGAGAAAGTTGAATACAGTGATTCCGAACAAATGTGGGTTGCAGTTTTGAGTCTTTGTAGCAAAGACGATTTCGAATTAAAGGATTTAATGAAACAGATGAAGAAAGCAGTTGGTGATGATGATATTACCTCTCTCGGGTGGTTGTTAGCTAGACAAGGTGAATATGAAAAAGCGAAAAACTATTTAGAGCAGATATTACTAGATCCATCAACAAGTAACTATGAACGAATCAATTGCTACCGTGGACTTGGTATCGTTGCACGTGAACTGAAGGAGTATGATGAAGCATTAGGAAGTTATGAAAATATGCTTGAGTTGTTAATAAAACTCAATGATCAAGAAAAAATTGGAATAGCTTATAGATCAATTGGTGAAGTTCACTGGTTTAAAAAAGAACTTGATTTGGCTCTTGACTATCAAAAGAAAGCGCTCGACATTCTACTTCCAATGAATCACTCTCAATTATCAGATGTTTACGCTGTCATCGGTAATATACATCTCGATAATGATGACTGTGTCTCGGCCATGGAATACTTTAAAAAATCACTCGAAGTTGATCGTCAGAATCAACTTTCTGAGAACCATCCTAACTTTGGAACCACATATGAATCCATAGGTGTAGCACATTATAAAAATGGCGAATATAAACGTGCTCTCGAGTACTACACTAAAGCAAAGGAAGTATGGCAGATGTCATTGCCCTCAAATCATCCTAACTTCGTAACTTTAAAGAGAAAAATTGATATAACAAAAGCCAAGATGAATGAGAAATAGAACGAAACTGGTCTGGCCAAATAACCATTGACACCAAAGAATGTACAGAAGTTCCTGTAACATTGAAGACCGAACGGGATTTTTTAGATTTTTTGCATGCGAAGTGCATTTATAAGATCTAGCCGGGACTTTTAAAACTATAAAATTCAGTTCTAATAGGTCTTTTCCTCGTTTATTAACCCTAGTAGTACCAAGTGGGTCATTTTTGACCCACACTTAAAAATTTGAAAATACAGTGGAAATATTTTGTTTTTCTTCTTTCTATTCCTGACTCTATGCTAAGGTCACTGGGATATACATATATATCCTTGAAGAATTAGGAATAAGTTTACTCTCATCTCTTCTGAATTTTTGCTCTAGAACCTCGACAAATTTGAATAAAGATCTTCAAAATGCGTTAGTTGTCGTGGGCTATCCTGTGATAGAGGAAGAAACACAAAAAGAAAATGAAAACTCTATTCAACCCAAACGAAAACGATGTTCAATTTGCCATTTTTCTAGAGATAGAAAAATTTCAAATAAATGTTATAAATGTTCAGAATTGGTTTATGATGAGCATTCTCTAAAACGTATTTTTTGTATTAATTATTCCAAATAAAGAAAAATCATCAGTTTGAAAATGTGGGTGTCGGCGTGGGTATGGATGTGGGTGTGGAATGTGGGTGTGGAGTATCTTTTCATCCACACCTACGCCGACACCTACATCCATACCCACCCACACTCATACCGACACCCACACCCTTTCCCTTTTCTCTCACACCACACCCATGAAAATGACAGAACGGTTCGTATTTCTTTTACTGGGTCAGGAAATTTTTTAGGATCCGGTGAGGGGCTCTAACCCATACCTACGCCCTTTCTGGAATACCATTAAAAAGCCTCGTCTTATTTTTTTCTGTCTTGATACCGAAGTTTCGCTCAAGTGCATTTTATGAGCCAATAACCAATCATTTTCATATTTCTATCGATGATACAGATCATCAAATATCACCAACTAGAACATCTCACAATGTTTTTTATGAGAAAAGTTGTTTTGCAACTATCTAATTTCATCATTACTTCAAAGAATCTTGTATCAAAATAGAAGGCTTATATTAAACTTCAATTTCTTATGCGTTTCTTTCGTCTATTAGATTAGAAACTATTATACGTTGAATATTTCTCGTTTTTGTTGATGATCTGATAAAAAGACTTATGAAAAAATGTTTCCCAAAAATGAGAAGGGTACAGTCTAAGTTATCAGAGCAAACATCGAAGTTTTGATTTCATAAATTTTCTCAAGAGACTATGTAATTGTATTAGTTTTGTTGATTTGTCTTAGAAGAACTAAAGCAAACCAAAAACAACACATACGTAATCTCTTTATACAGAAGCTAGAGAATAGGGTATGGGTGTTAGTGTGAGTATAGGTATTCTCGAGATAAGAATCCATATCCATACACTTACACCCATACTCTACTTAGGCATTATGAACTTCATCATTTTTCTACACATATTAGCCACCCTTGAACAAATAAAAGAGTGGATGATGAGAATCAGTTGATTTAGAAAAAAAATCATTTTCTAGCCTGGTCTAAGTAGAAAAGAACAATCATCGATGTGGTAAAAGGAATACTTTGTAAAACAAAGAAAAATAAAAGTAAAATGAATTCTTTTATCCTATTTTGAGTGTGTGCCACGGAGAACAAGACCTACACACCCACACCCTCTATCATAGCTTCAATCAAAAACACAATATAAAATGTCTCAGATCGCTTAAAAAACATTTAATACCGATTTGCTTCATTAAAATTTTACTTCTTTATATTAAGATCATCGAATAATAAATAATAATTGTATTTTATATGAATTTCTTGATACATTTTGCTACGTCTTCCGAGTTGGAATTGTACGAATCTCTTATAACTATCTGAATATTTTCCTAAGCTTTCATAATTCTAGTTCTAACAGATAATGTAGAAGTTCGTGGGAAAATATCTGTCCATTTTTCTTATTCCGAAACATGTTATAGAAAAATTTAAAATCTACATTTGAAGAACTTTTTTTAAAAATTTGATCATCGCTGCCCTTCAATTAGTGAGTCCACACTAATATTCAGTCTGGAAAAATTTAGTAATGCAAAAATCTTCGTACAAATATGACTTCATTTTTCGTATTGCTAAAACATGCTTTGAAATATTCTATTGATAATTTACATTTGACGAGCTTTCTAATAAGATGTTCAAATTTCTAAGTTTCAACGTTCGAGTATCAAGCACATCTTTCAAGAGCAGAAAACATTTTAGTCTATAAAATTTAAAGATAATGCTTTCCGGAAAGTCTAAAAGTGGTTTACTAGAAACTATTTTGATTTCATAAGTTTTTAGAATGGACTATTCTCTAAGTTTATGGATGCATAAATAGGATATATAGCAAATGGCTAGAACTTATCGCCCTTTTCGAAACAATTTTTCCAAGAACTTTTGCATTATCTGTTAACTATGAGAAGAATATACAGATTTGCACTATAGAAAAAGTTTGTTCCGCACGACCCAATAAAATTCTAATTCCTTAAAAGAAAAACATCTCAAATAATTATTATTGAGTTTCTTTTGTTGATTCGATCACAGTTTCTATTATAATCTTCTTGATATTGAATCTTATCCATTTTCATCATATGCACAGTTTGATTTTGTTTTTCAAGATCGCTATTATGCTTCATT